CTGTGAGTTCGTCTTGAAACACTGAGCACTCGGAGCATTTTCCGTCTTTTTTTCTTATGATGACAAAAACAGGGATAAAAGAACAAAACAGCAACTCCGAGCGTTTACTCGAACTCTACATAATAAATACCCGTTAGCTGTGTTTATTTACGTTTTTCTCTGATTTTTTTAAAATTTTATCAATATTAGAATTGGTTTACTTCGCTTAAATTCAATGATTAGCTTAGCATTATATATTGCAGACCCAAGCAGCTCAGCGGTTGTGTCTTCGCTTTGCATGCAGTGGGTCTCGGGTTCGAATCCCGGCTAGGTGCATGGATGTTTGTTTGTTTGATTTGGTTTGTGTGTGATGTTCGAGGCTTTGTCGACAAACCACAGTGGTGGTTTCTGACAAGAAAGCAGAAAAAAAAAAAAAAAATATATATAAATAAAACGATATACCTATTAATTATGACCGAAGAAGGAAATTCCAAAGGGCAATCCGCCAATCTGTAATTTGTGATATGTTTATAGTAACAAAAGTAAGTAGGTATGTGAATCTTTTTTTCCATTATAACTTAAAAATTTACAACTCGCCGCAACCCAAAACAACAACAAAACAAATAACGGTGGGAAATGTGGAAATCAACCAAATTAAATACCATGCCGGCGCCACACGATGTGTCGAATGCCTTCCAACGTTGGACACATAGCGATTTATGGCATCGTGTAGCCGTGCGCTCATCGGATACATTTGCCGAATGCTGGAGCAAAAAACAGTGTACCCAACGTTGGATCTAACGTTGGGGCGAATGGTTGGACACATCGTGTGGCGCCGGCTTAACGCAAAATCATACTACGTGACGTCATCCAGATTTAAGGTCGTTTGAAATGCTTTTAATTCGCGCGAAACTTTAAACATTTCTCACCAAGTTATTATTGAGTTTTAGGGAATAATATCTGGGGAATACTCTTTCAAGGCATAAATAAATGATTTAAAAAAATTAAAAAAAAATTGTAAAGTTCCCTATTGTGCGTTCTCAAAACTGTGATCTGTTGCCAGATTGGAAAAACTAACTACGGCGGCGTTCCGTAAGTTAACCAAGATTCTTGGTTTTTCCGGTTCCCGTTCCGTAACCTAACCACTCCTGAAATCTGGTTATGTTATGAAACGCGGTTCCTGAAAAATTCGGTCACAACTGTCAACCGAATCTACCGATCAAAAAGCTTGTGGCGTTTTCTCGCGGAGCAAATGGTTCGAACTACGGTTTAAACCAATTTGTAGATGACGTCATCACGCGATGAACCCACGACGTCACACAAAATTGGTTCAAACCGTTTCGAAATACAATCCAATTCACGTTTTTAAACCATTTTCTCACGCCGAGAAGTTATGTCGTCATTGTGAAACTGTTTTGAACCTGTTTTGAAAAATGTTTCAAAACTTTGAGACGCGAGAAAACACCTCATGTGTCCGGTTCGAACTTTTTTGAACCAGGTTCAATGTGACGTCACTGGTTTAACGCCAGAATGTACAGGTTCGAACCTAATTGGACCGGATCGAACCAGTTCCACGAGAAAACAGCTCTAGTTTTTTCGGTTTGTTTTCAATTTCTGACATTTGTTTGTTAGGTTAGGTGATAATATTTTAATTTTTTTATTTTTCTTCCGCTTTGAACATGTATTTGCGGTGAAAATGGGACAAGAGGTGAATACTACATTCATTCCTGACAATTGCTTATTACAATTACAAATATATTTTTAAGAGGATAATATTCTCAAGCCAAACCAAAGCTGAACCGAAGCGTTCCACGCATAGACCGCATTTACAGGAACCAGACTGTTACCATAGACGAACCGCTTCTTACCGATCGGGTAACCATTCGGTAACTCTGGTTAAGATACGGAACGCCGCCTACGTCACGAACTTTTATTTTCACGTAGGGGCGGAGCTAAGAGGAAATTTAAAAAGCAAAATTCCAGTGTATTACGGTTTTTGCAAACCAACTGATCACACTAAGGCCCAGTTGTACAATCTCGGTTCAAAACAAAGTTCAACTGAAATCGACTGGTACTTGAGCTTTCCCATTTAAAATACATTGCTGTCAGCTATTAATAAAATTCTATCATTTTTGACAGCAGTGCATTTCAAATGGGGAAGTTCAAGTACCAGTCGAGTTCAGCTGAACTCTGTTTTGAACCAAGATTGTACAACTGGGCCTAAATAGTACGATAGGTACGTCGATTATATCACTACGCAGTAGTTAAAAATGCCTTGTATACTACCCCATTGGTTTATGTTTGGTGGGATGTGGAATTGCAATAATTATTTTGAACAATGAGTCTTTTTTCGTTTTTAATGAAGAATATTTATTCGTTAAAAGTTTTTTGGAGCGTAATAGCTCTTTATAATAACGCGCGATAACATAATGACTAGCATCATAGATAAATATACCTATACTAAAAAAAGTTTTATGATATTTTTTAAATTTAGCCATTTTTTAATAGATAAATGTTCAAGGTTACGGGTATGGCGTAGTAGCAAAGTTTACATTCAGCCATTTCATTCACCTAAACCCCTAAACAAACAAAATTTGAAAAACTAAAAATGGGTAAATGTTATCTGATTTTCTGATTGCGTATATTTTAGAGGTAAGTACTTAGATTATTGCCACATCAATAGATAAGTTAAGCCGCTATTCATTTGTCTTGTGACTCATGTTTTTCAAAAACTGGCACAAAATTGTAATAAAATTACTTAATCCAAGGATAGAATGGCATCACTTGCTCCAATAATAATAGGGAACTTGCAATTTTTTTTTTTATTTCAAAAATGTGTTGTACTACACTAAACACATAGTCATGCCAAATATCAAGCATTAAAAATCAGCCGTTAATTTTTTATAAATATTTGAAGTTACGCTCGAAACATCGCCATTTGAAACGACCGATTAGTGTGACGTCACTCAGCAACAAAATTCCGTTCACAGTCCTTGGTTGACAGTGACCTGCGAGCTGAGCCCAGGTAGATTTAGATTATGGTTATGTTAATTATGTATGCCGTTTATGATAGATTTGACATTGACAACACCAGCAACACATGGCGTGGCAGCGGTGCGACCCGATTATTACTGCCCTTTGACGTCAGGACCCATAGAAATATGTTTTTCTACTGACGTTTCATAATAGCAACTTTTCGATTGTCATTTTAGTTTTGAAATGACATTCTTTTGAGCACTCAGTGCGTAAAAGTGACTTTTAGGCACTCAGTGCGTAAAAGTGACTTTCCAGTGCGTAAAAGTGACTTTCAAATGCGTAAAAGCGACTTTCAAGTGCGTAAAAGTAACTTTTAAGCACTAGTGCCTAAAAGTGTTATTCATTGTTCAGAAATAAAAAACACACTAAATGCAAATTTGAATTTTGTTTTGTATTTATTATGAATATTAGTCACCAACATGAAAGGTGTCAAGCAAAAGCAGGCGACAAACATTGAAATAAAATTGTGTTTTTTTATTATGAAACGTCAGTAGAAAAAATCTTGTATACAATACGTTACGAAACGAAATCTTTTAGTCACTCGACGTGTTGTCCAACTCGGCTTTGCCTCGTTGGACAATTTTCACGTCGCGTGCCTAAAAGACACTCATTTCGCAACTTATTGTATAAATAGCTATTTTGATCTCGTCAAGAATTTCGAATTATTTGGTATTTTCAATTGAAGATTTTGAAAACCAGAGATAACATATTATATCCTTTTCCTAATTGCATCATTTATTAGGATGATTGTTATTGTATTTTATTATTTATTTCATATTTAATTTAATGTGCAAGTTCCCTATTGTATAATCATATATTATATCACAAGACCTTCAAATTTAATCGATTAAACTATGCAACATATTTTGAGCATGATTTTGCTTGGAAAATAGTTGAATGCACAATAACTTAATAAAAGCCCGAGACCGCGAAGCGGTCGAGGGCTTTTATTTAAAAATTATTGTGCATGAAACTATTTGCCAAAAAGCAAAATTATGCAAAAAATATTTGGATAGTTTAATCCATTTAAATTTATAGGTCGAGTGGTATACGGCTAGATTATTTCCTGAATAATTAGGATTGAATTGTTGGCGTCAATCCTATCTAAAGAGTTCTATTTATTATAAAATGTCAGAATATTTCTATCAAAATTCTGTCAAAAAAGGTAAACAAAAATTTAATCGTAGGTAATACCATAAGAGCTCAGATTTAGCCGGATATTTTTTGGCTTGGTCTCGAATACTTACTTTTAGGAAATTTAACGAGAGCTGCTCCGACAAAATCACGAGAGCGCAGCTCGAGTGATTTTGTGGAACAGATCGAGATAAATTGCATGAAAGTAAGTATGAGAGAGCAAGCAAAAAAATATCCTGCTCAAAATCTGAGCTCGAATGGTATTTAGTACGGCAATTCCACGAATGCATAATCAAAATAAAATATGGAAATACTTTTTAAAATGAACAGTTATTAAAGGTACAATTAGAATAAATATTTTGCTCCTTAAAATTTGACTCTACAGAAAGAGAAGAAGACTCTGTGTTCTCAGGAATTGAATTTTCTATTTCGCTATTAATTCATCTTTAATTGTCCCAAATCGCTGCATGTTGAAAAATTTTTTAATTTTATTTAAAAATACACTTTTAATAAGCTAAAATGATAGAACTTGTGAATTTTTGTGACAATTATTTGACAGATGATTCAAAAACCAATTTTATATGCAATTGTTACTACGGTAACGATTGCATCAACAGAAAATTTATCCGATTTTCTTATCCAGTTATATTTTCTCTTCCTTCCTATTTATCCGCTAGCAAACTACGATTTATGACATTTCAAATGGGATTATTTATACATGAGTGGAATTGTCGCTGATAAACTATGTCTTGTGAAATAATCACTTATTTAAGCAAAATTCATTCAAAAAATGACGTTGTCTGATGGGTCTATTTTATAATGAATGAAATAATCTTTTGAAAAGCTCTTACCCACTTTCCAGTTCTCGTATACTCAGCATCAATTTCTCTCACATTCAATAAATGCTTTCTTAGAGTAAAAACTGAAAGCACCAAGCCTTGCAACCTTATAGATTTGAGTTTTACGTAACCCCTTTCGTCTAGTATATTTCGTAGGGCATAAGTCCAATAGTCCTAAGAAAAGTTTTATGATCCGATATCTAGGTACAAATTGAATAATTACGGGATCAAAATTACTTACATCAAATAAAGCATCTAAAAGTCTATTCATCGGTTTCGATTTAACTTCTTGCAATCCAATGACAAAGAAATCCGGAAGTTTTTCATTTTTTTCTTCTGACAGTGATAGAAGATCTAGAAGAGGAAGAGACTGATCGAATGAGTCGTTTGTTCCTACATTGTATGTGGCTAGGTAAAGACTAAAAAAAAATTACACCAATAAGAAAGAATACTTTTGGATAGGCATTAAAATAAGGTGACCATTCGTACTGATTTTACCAGTACAGTACTGGTTTTCGGGGCATAAGTCCTGGTTAGTCATTAAACAAAACCAGTACACGAAAAGTACCTACTAGTTTTCGATTAGATCTTAAATTTAAAACATAAAAAACAAAAATAATCCATCTAGTTAACTAACTACATATAGCGAATTCCGTTGGAAAGGTTGGTGCGCATTGAGTGTATCCGTGTCTTTTTCTACCAGCTTGTATAAGAAAGAAATAAAAATAATTTTTTTTTGCACTAGTAGAATTGGCTATGAGAGACCATCAATGGAATTCGCTATAGTTAAACAGAATATTTTCAAAGAAAAAGTGGTGGAATTTTATAGCACGTTTTTAGTATCTGGAAGAATGGAAAGGCTATTTTGAGGAAATCGAGAATTTCAATTGGATTATATGAAAAATTATTATTATGAATGATATTTTTGTTATGTTTATTGTTTTATTTTTATATTGTAAAATCATATTTTGATTTTCACATACCTATCTTGTGTTTAATAAACGCAACATTTTCTGATTTCTAAAAGTTTTTTAATTACTTAGGTATTGTCACGAAGCCTCTCTTGCTCCGCTACGTAGCTCGACTATTCACCCTGAAAATCAGAACGGGAAGGAAAAGGGAACACCAGAATAACTCTAGATTAATATAATATACAGGTTGGCCGTTGGGTGAATTTTTAATAAAAGTTTGTAAATTGTGGGCGTGGCTGGTAAAAGCTCATATTGTCATTGTCCTGGTTTCAGGTTGGAAAAAAATGGTCACCTTACATTAAAAAGAAACTTGTAACCACAGGTAAATCATAAAACAAGCCAAAAATACAATAGAAAATTATATTTGAAGTATTGTATAAGGTTTGTTTGCTATTGCTAATAACACATTTTCTAGAGTTGCAATATTCATTCAGCAATTTTCTCCTTTATCTGTCTTTACAAGTAGCATGTTTGAGTGTTTCCTATTAACAAAAATGCGGACAAATGATGTAAAATTATCCAGATACATTCTTTTACCTATAACACTAACAATCAATACACGCAGAAAAATGTTTCTAAAAATACTTAATTCTCACCTCAAATTATCCATTTTAAATATGGGTTGCTCCTAACTAGACTAGAACATTGAAAAAGTGTCTTTTCAAGTAATAAACCACTATCGTTACAAAACAGTAATGATTTTAGCCATATCTAATCATTAATAATCATTATTACTGATAAAATATACCATCGTCGCTCTTTTTATATTGGAATTTGAAAGTTTAATTTAAATATTTGAAATAATCAGCTGTCAACAATGTCACTAGAACATCATGCCCTAGTAGGCGTTTTCGAAATTCATCATCGGAATGAATCTATTATTGAAAAATTTAGGATTGTTTTTACTATGATTTTTCTTGTGCTTCTAATAGACCTGTCTATTTTTACCTGTAGGTATGCGCGCGCAACACGAGGCAATGCATTTTTATTGGCTAACTAGTACAGGTGTGAAGTAATCATCCTTTTGCACGCTGGGCATCTCCTTGTCCTTGTTCATTGCTCATGGTCTGACAAGGATAAAATTATGCTTGCTATTCAACTTGACGAAGCTTGACAAGTGATCGATTTTCAATTGTTTGTGTTTTTGATTGACAAATAGGTTGCATGTCACGCGGTTTTCCTCCTTCCTTTTTTATCCCGTGCAAATAATAAGAATGGATTGCTATACGTAAATCTAACATAATTTGGTACGTTTTGCCTCGTCTTGCGCAATAAGCGTTCTGCGTCTTTTTCTATCTAATAAAGCTTTCGTATTATTACCTCTTTGTCTGGTAAAATAGATAGGTCTATTAAGATTTATTTTCCTCTTTAGATAATAATATGCCAAAAAATTCTGGCTTAGAAACGGCTGAAAAGGCAGAACAACAAAGGACCCCGCAATATTTAAATGGAAATTGGTTACCCGTGATATTTGGATGAAATTTAAATATGTTATTGGAGATGCCGTAAGCATCATTTTTTACCATGGGCACAACCCTGTATATATGACAGGTGAGGCGTGGTTAGCTGTCAAATATTGGAATCTTATATCCAAAAGCAGAGTAACTATGGCAGATTTTGATGAACAAAAAATCTATTTCTACTAAGTCGACCAAGTTAAGCCGAAAAATGTCAACATCTGTCAAAACCCTGCCAAACGGCAGCATTCATCTTTCCCAGTTTTCAATATTTTATGATGTTATTTGTCATTTTTAACTTGTATGTAAATTCTGAATTCACAAATTGAAAAAAAAAATGACAGAACTGTCAAAATGACATCATTGTAGATTTCATTTGTAAGTGCCAAAATGTTTGAGTGCTTTAATGATTTCATTTTAGTACTGAGTATTATAATGATTTCATTAAAGTACTAAAAAAAAATCGCCGGTATATAAAATCCTTTATACTAAAACTACGTATTTTAAAATGAAAATTGACATCTCTGTCAAAATCTGAAACCTGCGTGTAATGTTTTTCCATGCGTTATCATAAAAAAACCCAACTTAAATTGGAAAAGAACTAGATTTGATTCTTTTTTGACTTAAAGCTATTGACAGATTCTGACAGCTGTCAAAATGTGACGTGCATGAACTTTGTTCAATGTCTTATCACCAATAAACTACCTTAAATCGAGAAAGAACCAAATTAGAGTATTTTTTTCTGCTAAAACAAATGACAGGTTTTGACAGTTCTGTCATTTTTTTTTTCTTTCAATTTTTGAATTCAGAATTTACATATAAGTTAACAATGTCAGATGACATCATGAAATATTGAAAACTGGAAAAGATGAGTGGTGCCGTTTGGCAGGGTTTTGACAGGTGTCAAAATGGTTGACATTTTTCGTCTTAACTTGGTCAACTTAGTAGAAATAGATTTTTTGTTCATCAAAATCTGCCATAGTTACTCTGCTTCTGGATATAAGATTCCAATATTTGACAGCTAACCACGCCTCACCTGTCATATACATATACAGGGTTGTGCCCAGGGTAAAAAATGTTGCTTACGGCATTCCTCCCAATAACATATTTAAATTTCATCCAAATATCACGGGTAACCAATTTCCATTTAAATATTGCGGGGTCCTTTCCAAATTGCACCGGAGCAAGAGCAAGGAGGGACACGTCTTCACATTCACGATTCGACAACCCGGGTTTCCAGGTTATATTCTTACTCGAGTAGTTGGAGTGACTTAACTAGTTAGGAAACTACCCAACCAAAGCCGCTTTCCAGCTGACCATTTTCACCATTTTGAGCACGCAATCGAGCTATTGCGCGCGCAAATGCTTCAAGCGCGTGTTCGTGTTCCAGCCGTACTGCGCTTCGAGAGCTGCTAACTTTTGCGTTTCAAACATAGAGCACTGTGCTGCACCGTACTTGAAGCGCACAGCTGGGAAATCGGCTCAAGGCTCAAGGTGAATTGTGACATTTGTTATCTCCCATGTTTTATGTTTTGATTCTGCATCACGTACAGTCGTGAGCTCAGATTAACACATAAAATAGATAGGTTTATTATGATTAAAAAATGCCCCAAACATTGACTCCCATTCTAAGATCACTTGCGGACACTTACTGCAGATGTGCCATATTTAAAAATTTTCCTAAGTTGCAGGGAAAATGGAATTCGAAATTGAAAAAAATCTATCGTAAATATAAAAATCTAGATAGGTATATGTATATACAATTAAGGCTAGTTCATGCATAAAAATATTTTCTGGTGCTGTAACTTAGTCCCTATCGATATCCGTAAGCAATGCATAAATTTCATGTATTTATATGCAGGTGTTCATGCACATTACTTTTCCGTATCATTTTCTTTATTCTCTATTGACTGACCTTGAAGATAGTTCACTTTTATCTTTTACGGAAAAAGTTACGGATAAAATAGACGACGCCTGCGCAATAGATAAAAACATTCAAATTTCTCGACTTAACCTCAAAAACAGGAAACCCTTAAACGTAATTAGCAAATATGTGTCTGGATTAGTCTGGAAATATTTATAACACCAAGCAAGAATGCCAATTAACATAGGAAATCCTATTGAAATCGTTTGCAGTTCCCCACAAATGTCAACAGTGTTGTTATTATAAAGACTGATAAAAACTCTTAATTTTTGGTGCATGAAATAACTAAAATTTTACGGAAAAAGAAAAGCTTATACATAAGGAAAAAGTTAAAGAAACGGAAAAAGGACATATGCATGAACCACTTTATAATATAAAATATCGCGGTGCTTTCCAAAATTGAATGGGAATAATTATTACATAAAATAATAATCTATTATCACAATAAAATTTGAATAAGATTTTGTGCTAGCTGAAAATGGCAACACTGCCTTGAATCTGGGAACCTGGTTGTATTCATCTAGGAACGCCCACCTGAATCGTTTTATCTTTGTTAAAATAACCAGATAAAGAAGGATGCAAATATTGCCGGAGCAAGTCCGACCATTATCGCGAATGCGCTGTAGTATTCATAGTAAGAAATGTCAAACGGGTTTTGTTTGTGATTGGCCCGCATTGTCCGCAATCTTATCCCCACTCCATGTACTTCATTCATTAATCCACTATTGTCGTTTAGGATTGTTGGTCGCAGAAACCAAACGATTTTATGAATGACTTGCCCTTTCTATTTATGTAGTATTACTCTGAGGTTGTGAGCATATAAAGTAGGTCACCCGACTGACAGGTCTTGTCGTTTTTCGCTATTTTGGGTAATGTCCCATTTTTTATGCTCACGACTGTACATTCGTCGTTTATTTCTTCATTTTCTTCGTGAATTGGATTTGGATTGATCATGCCAGCTACCTTTTTTAAAAACGTTGTGATGGACTCAGAATTAAAAAAAAAAACACCATCAAGTACAGGGTGGCCCATTTTCGATGTTTTAATAGGCTATATCGAAAACCAGCACAGATATCAAAAATGTGGGAGCACATTCTCAAGCTCTTTTTTTGAGAAAATAACAATGGCGAAGACAAATCACGACTAACTTGATGCGTTTAGGAAATACAGGGCACTTTTCAAGTTTTGCTCAATTTTAGAAGACCTTCTAATTTCTTTATTAATCAAGATATCCAAAAACGAAAAATACTTTCTATACTCTATAGGCAGTTTTTCAAGGAGAATCCAGTGGCATGACCAATTTTTCTCCAGATGCCTCCGATTTTGGAATATTGACCAAAGTAGTGTTTTTTTAAATGGGTCCCCCCGTATATTATTTTTTTATTGAATAGCTCTTTGTGAGATGCTTTCGATGATATAAGGTTTTATACCTTTATCTTCTATAGTTTTGGAAAAAAAAAATTAATTCCGTTTTTTCATAAGAAACAATGAGCTAGAGAGAGATAAGTCATTAAATAAATTATGTGTTGCCTATTTATCACCCCCGATTCATAGTTCAAATTAAAAAAAAAATTAGCTGAACTGAAAAATTGAATTAAGAATCAAGAAATTTGTAGCCGATTCATAGTTCAACTATCTATTTCTAACTCATTGTTTCTTATGGAAAAAACGGAATTTATTTATTTTTTCTCCAAAACTATTGAAGGTAAAGGTATAAAACCTTATATAATTGAAATCAGCTCACAAAGATCTATTCAATGAAAAAATAATATACGGGGTGTCCCATTTGAAAAAACACAACTTTGGTCAATATTCCAAAATCGGTGGTAACTGGAAAAAAATTGGTCATACCACTGGATTTTACTTGAAAAACTGCCGATAGAAAGTATTTTTCATTTTTGGATATCTTGAATAATAAGGAAATTAGAGAGTCTTTTAAAATTGGACAAAATTTGAAAAGTGTCCTGTATTTCCTAAATGCATCAAGTTAGCCGTGATTTGTCTTCGCCATTGTTATTTTCCCAAAAAAGAGCTTGAGAATGTGCTCCCAGATTTTTGATATCTCTGCTGGTTTTTGATATAGCCCATTAAAACATCGAAAATGGGCCACCCTGTACACTTTAATTATATCCCAACTATCAATCCCCGACTCGTTAAAAACTGACAACAAACGTCCAATTATTAAAATCAATAACCGAATATTTGCAGAAAGTAACATTTGGCAACATTACCCACGAGTGCCAACCTAAATTTCATTTTATCGACAGATTCGGTTATATGATCCGACAGCATTCTATCTTTCTTCAACGCTAGGGTTAAGCAGAAGAGAAAATACGATCTGAGTTTGAAACGAATTATTTCTCACTAATTGACCTTTTGTTTGGACGCCATATTGCGGTGCGCGAACATAG